AATGCCAAAACTCACATGATCAAGTACAAAATTGGACAACTTGTTATGCTGTGTATACATTTTCTGGAGGGAATTATCCGCTTCCTCGGAAAGTTTCTTGACATTCTCGAGAAACTGAACGATTGAACGGTCCGTGTTGAGCTGAAAAATAACTTACAGAATCGCTTGCACAGAGCTCTGCTGACTTCTTCAAATAATTAGGCATATAAAATCAAAGGAAACGCGAAAAACCTCTGAAGTGCTGGGTCTGCAGAAAAACTTGGCCAGTTCAGCGTGCAGTGATTTGGAAGCCTGCTCGAATCCAGCCATAAATGACTGCACATCTGACTTTGTTTCCTCTGAAAACTCCCAATCTCAAGGTTAATAAATTTTTTTTTGGACCAAACTAAAATAGACATACAAGGGGTATTTTTCTGCTAAAATTCGTCAAATTCTGAAAAGTCTGAAATTCTGGAATTCATCAAAAAAAAATCTTTTATGAAAAAAAGTCACTGATGAAAATGCAAAAATGTGACGATAAGCCGAATTTACTAATTATTAAGCACTTTTCACGCATTAACCTGAAATGCATTTTCCAAACAATATATCTGAGAGGCTGCTGGTGGCAACCACTAAGGAATAACACAGAGCTGATACAAAAGCAAGCCATAAAGTCATAAATTAATAGATTATCATCATATTGACGAGTTCCAGCTAAACTGTGCCACTTAGAGAGCCAGACCCACTGCGCCTCGCTCATTTGTTTCGATGGTAATCTGATTATCGCATGACTGTAGCACGAAAGCAATACGAAGAACGTAGAAAAGAAGGCAAGAATAGAAAGAACTATGTAATGCAAGAGGTAGAAATATTGCTGGTACAGGAAAAATAAGTACGAGAGAGTTAAGACGTTTCGGTCCATAAAGTCATATAAATCTTAGCTCAACACTGTGACTGGACCTCGTCATTATGACAGTCGCAGTGTTCAGAGAAAAGAAGAAGAGGGAATGAAACGCAGGAAGAAAGAAGATAGGAACAGGAAGAATTTTTTAAAAAAGTATAAATTTAGGGCATTTGAAAAGGATTAGAAGGTGGTAATGTGGAAGTGGAGAAGTGTCGAGAGGAGGAAGCAGCAATATGAACGGAACGCTAACAACGCGACTTAAACTAGATTAGGCGTATGCCAGGAAAGTTGAGCTCACCGTCAAATTATTTCTAACATATAATCGAAAAAGAAGGCTACAAACATCTTGCTGACGAGTGGTTGATATTGGCACGTGTTGTCTTCAATTTCACGAGTTTTCCTATCTTACTAAATTATCTTTCAAAATTCTTCTGTCACAATCGTCGTACTGACGAGGTCGGACTGTGGTAAAGGTAAGAAATGTATACGACTTAATGGACCGAAACATTTCTTTGCCTAATTTAATAATTCTTTACAACCCTTTCATCGTTTTTTGCTCATATTTTCTCTCTAACCCTAAATGGATGCGGGGGTTTTGAGTGAGTATTCTGGCACTTTCCTACATGCAGTACTTGCTTAGAACAAATGGGGTGCAATAAATCTCACCACACCACTTCGTTATTGCATCCGCTTCAGTTTGCAGCATGTCCTTCCACTTTTCGATTCTGTTCTTCATGTTATCCGAACTGATACAATGCTCCTTTTCATATCGCTCATATAACTTCTCGTTTTTCGCTGCTGCACTCCGAAGTGTATCAATTTTGTCATGTGTTTTATCGACTTCCAACAACAGCTGTGTAAACTGGGCACAGTACTGAAATTTTTACTGATTTTTACTGAGTAGTGAAAAAGTTTTTCGAAGAGGGAAGCTGTTTTACCGAACTTTTTTTGAAACTAAAAGACAGAAAAAGAAAAAAAACTCCATAAAAAATTAACAAAAACATAAATAAAAGCTGCCAATCCAGAAAGTAGCAACATTTTTCTAGAACTAGTTATACCTCCCTTCCTCTAAAGAAAAATTTCTTCCCAAAACTAAAAAAATGGGATCAGTTCTCACAAAAAACCAATGATTCTCTCAAGCGTGTGCATCTCCTGCTTCAATATTGATAAAATTCCTTTCAAATCAACAAGTGTTTTTGCCTGTCAGAAAGCAATCTTCGTACCTGAGCATTTTTTGCCTGGCAATTGTCTGCTGCCTCCTGCAACTGCGCCAGTACCAACTGATGGTTCGTCAAGCTGGATTTGCAAGAAGCCAATTCCTAAAACCGATTGTTCTGTTGCAACAGACTGTTTCCCGTTGCAGAACTTTTAGAATTTACTTAGAAAAAGGTGAAAATTACGGAAATTTTAGCTGCTTATAATGAGTATCGTAGAAGTTACCATACGCTGCGCGCATGTCGTTTACTTAACGATTCCTGTATCTTTTGCTATATTTTCTTTTTCCAACATGGCTACCGCTAAAAGAAGTAAAAAAAACGACGACGTTTCCTCCCACGCACCTCCTCTTTTGAGGCTCGTTTCCTTTTCTTATCTTTCTTCTTTTCTATTCCTCATCTTCCTTTTCTATCCCTTTCTTCCCTTTCCCTTTATTTCCTTTCTATTTTTTCCTCTCCTTATTCCTTTTCCCTTTTCTTCCTCTTCCATTCATAAGCACAGCGGCCGTCATACTGACGAGGTCCAGTCGCCATGTTAAGACATATATGACATGATGGACCAAAACGCCTTACCTCACTTCTTATTTGCAACTCTTACTCTGACTTCCAGAGTTAACCTGGACTCTGTAAATCACTTACCATATTAAGAACCGCATTTTGATTGCAGCGCTCAGTATACTTCTCTTCCATGTGTTTGTAACGCCTGTAAAGACGGCCATAGTGCTCGCCCATCAGCTCACTATCCTCCATCAACTGCAAAAATTTTTACCGATTAACACATGTTTTTCACTCAAATTCTGCGAAAGAGGGGAGCGAGGGGAAGGGGGAAGAGGTGGTAAAAGTACATGGTAAAACTACTGATGGCTGCTTAATAAGTAAGCTATTGGCGGTTTTGACCCTCTGGCACGCCACGCCACAAAGAAAAATGAAGTAATTAGAGGCACTGGCAGGCACTTACCACTTGTATACGTTCAATGTACGATTGCAGCTCGTCCGTGAGCGATTCAATCTGGTGGCTTTGCTGCGCTAACTGTGTATGCATATTT